TGCGCTTGACGTCCCCTGGGGCCGGGTGGGGGTATGGAGACTTGACCTAATATGGTCCCCACGCGAGATGGCGTGCCCACAGCTGGAGCTCTAGGTCTGTTTCCAGGTCTCTCTGTGTTATCCTTTGGTGTTAACCCTACTTTATTCGAGGATGCTGGTAGCTTTTGCGTGGCGGAGAGCATCTCCTTCAGGCTTTCTGTGCGGAGTGCGGGCATTTTCCTGCACTCTGGACAGATGTACCAGAACCACTTGCATGGTTGTCTCTTCATCAGCTTATAGTATTGTCGGGGGACTTTGGTATCGCAGTGGCAATGCACCCATCGTTGACATAGGTTGCATGCAAATGCCTCATCGACTACCGAAACAACTTTGGTGCAAACACTGCAGCCATCGGGTGTCGTAATACAGCCTTCCTTCCATGAATAAGGTGCTACGGATTGTGGCGAACTGCTTGTGGCTGCCTTGTTCTGAAGCCTTTTACGTCGTCTTCTATGTTCAGGCATGGTATGATCCTTGCTCAAGAAAGGACTAGTTTGTGACGGGCTAGTGCTACTCTGTGTCACCTGTCTGATGGCGACTGGAATTCTAGAAAAATGGGTTGGCCACTTCTTCAGAAGTTCGATGTTCTGCCCTACCTCTGTTTGTCTTCTAGTACAGACTAGTGTGTTGTTTAGGGTGTTACTGGCCGTTGTTGTGCACGACCGCGTTATCCGTGTCAAAGCTTCAGACCTAGCGTTTTGGGCAGACATGTCGCTATGATATAAACTTCTTGGGAAAACAAGTAGTTAACAACAATAAGAGGGTTGAAGACTGAATGCAGCAAAAGGACAGAATAGAAAAGGGAAGATAATTTATGTTGGCTCACCTTCAGACACTTGTCACTTGATCCTCTGCTCTTGACCAACGAGTTTAACCGTAAGCTCCAGATGCGTATGTATAACCAGGAAAGATATTTCCTGGGGAATGACCTCCGAGGAGAACCGAGAGCTAAGGCAGTTTGGCAGCTGAAACGCCCAAGAACCACTGACAGGAGGTAGACCGGTTGGTTCAAAGGAATAATAGTGCCAATTTTCAACTGTTGAGGAGTGAGCTGACGAATGCGCAGGGGTGAGGTGCGTGGACGGACAGAAGTGCTGCAAACGTTCTATGTTTTTAGATTGAGTATTGAAAGTGGGAGTTTTTCATTGTGGAAAAATCCAAAAGCTGAGAGACGAGCGAAACACGTCACTACTCAAGGAGCGCGCCAAGTGATGACCGAGTCATGACCGTGATGCGGCTCACCTTCAAGAATATTGGATGATTCAAACGATGCCCGGATAATCTTCAAATTCGAACTGAGCCTGCTTCAACACACCTCCTATATGCCATAAATCACAGCATCTAATGTATAGCATAACATTGTACATAATAGTCATCTCCCATTACAAAAGTCATCAAACCTGTAAACTGGTTCATATTCATGTAACATTTGTTGTATGAAATATATTGTTATTAAAATGTGGCGGATGTCTGACGTGAACTGGAAAATGTAGTCAAGCTGTGGCGACTCATGCGGGGAGTATTTGTCAGACGCCGAGCTGAGGGAAAAGGTTAATGGTTTGTGGTCTGTGAAAATAATGAAATCATGACCTTCCACCGAATGTCGAAAGTGGCGTACAGAACAATACGTAGCTGGGAGTTCCCTACCAAATATACTGTATCTTGTTTCCGCGTCTTGCGGCCACCTAGAGAAAAAGGCTAACGGTTGCCACTGGTTGTCAGTCAATTGTTGCAAAACTGCTCCAATTGCTGAGTCAGATGCATCAACGGCAATACTCAAGGGAGCATTGTGGTCGTGATGCATAAGCATGGTTGAGTCCGAAATGGCTTCCTTGACTTTAGGGAAGGCAAGTCTAGCCACGTTGTCCAGAGACACGAACTTCGTAGTTCCTCGAAGCAGATCTGCTAGTGGTCTCATGACAGAGGCACAGTTGGGGATAAACCCTCGGTAATAATTTACCAGGCCATTGAAAGTGCGGAGATGTTTCACAGTGGTCGGCTCTGGATAGTTTGTGATAGCCGCCACTTTATCTCTCAATGGGCGTATACCTTTGTTGTCAGTGGTATGCCCAAGGAAGCTGAGTGATTCAACTCCTATTTCACACTTCTGTAAGTTGACTGTGATGCCATGTTTTTTAAGTCTTTCGAATGCGAGGTCCAAATGTTTGAGGTGAGTTTCCTTATCTGGACTCGCAATCAGACAGTCATCGATGTAGACATGAACAAAATTCAAACCGCGGAAGACATCATCCATAAAGCGTTGGAATGTTTGTGCTGCATTCCGAAGACCAAATGGCATGCGCAGGAATTCAAAGAGGCCAAAAGGAGTAATAATGGCTGTTTTCGCGATATCTTCTGCTGCCATAGGTATCTGGTTGTACGCTTTGACCAAGTCCATTATTGAGAAAATGTTCATTCCGCATAAGGTTGCAGTCAAATCGTAAACGTGAGGTATCGGGTAGCAGTCTGGAGTTGTTTTGGCGTTAAGCCTTCGGTAATCACCGGTCGGACGCCAGTCATTGCTATCCTCTTTGGGAACCATGTGCAGTGGTGATGCCTATGGGCTATTTGACACTTTGATAATGCCCATTTCGAGCATGTGGTCGAATTCGCTTCTCGCCGTTTTTAGATTATCGGGAGCTAGACGGCGCGCTTTGGATGCCACAGGTGGACCTGTGGTTGTGACGTGATGCATAACATTGCTGGTTATGCACGGAGGCGTGCTTCGGTTGCTGTAACTCTGGATATTTCTCCAGAACTGCCTGGTAGGACGCGTCGTCTGATTGTTTAGTCCTAACGATGGCTAAACTCGGACCTACATAGGTGGTGCCGCCAATAGATAACTTTGCGTTATTATCTATTAGTCGTCGATGGCGAGCATCTACGAGTAAATCGTAATGGTTTAGCAAATCTATGCCAATGATGGGCATAGAGACGTCCGCCAGGAGGAAAATCCAGTGATAGGTTTGCGTAAACCTAAGTTTAGGTAGGCATACCGTCTCCCGAATGTCACGATTGCCTTGCCGTTGGCTGCTTGAAGATTGAAGGATGGGTCGTGATGACGCTCCTTGTCGTTGCTGGAAGAATGCTAACTTCTGCTGCGGTGTCGACGAGGTAGCGGACTTTCGTTTTAATATCCGTGACGTAGAGCAAACGGCTTTTTCCGCCGGCTACGGTTGCCGTGAGCACGTGCCGGCGTGACCGTTTCCCGAGTTCGGGTCCTTCTTAAAACGGCATGGTTTACGACATTTTCTGGCTTCATCTCCGTAAGTGTTATGAAACCAGCACCATTCAGGGATTTCGACCCTGTTGGGTTTCGTTTTAGGGCTACCACGCGACTTGCTGCGATGCGCCAAGGTGCGTTTCTGTGAAGTGCTACGTGATCTAGGACTTCGAGATCGTAGCAACCGTTTCACAGAGTTGCACAACTTGGTCACCTCTGAATCCTGGCGCTCTGGTTTGTCGCAGATAGAATATACGTTGGAGACGGGTCTGCTGGAAATCTCCAGTATTTTATCTGCTGAGGCTGCCAGATCATCGAGTGGGACTGACTGCAGTGTCACCAACACGGTTTGCACCGGTTGTGGTAGTTTCGAGAGAAATAGTTCTCGGAAGAAACCATCGTCGAGTGTTCGTGCACCGATTACTTCTCGCATGCGTGCGAGGACTTCAGTAGCTGAGTGGCTGCCTAGCTCGATGTTACGAAGCAATTCGTCTAGACGTTGGCGATCTGTGAGATCGCTTTTCTTCAAGAGTGCGGCCTTTAGAAGTGCATAAGGATCACTTACTTCAGGATTAAACATGTTTGCTGTGACATACCTGTTTAATTCTCGCGGTAGTGAACGTATGACAGCAAGAAATCGAGATTGAGGATCTGAGACACCCTGTTCTCGAAAATCGGCCTCAGCATACAGAAACCATGTTTCTGCATTGTCTGGCCAATATGGCACGAGTTGGATCGTGTTCGAGGTCGGCTTAATACGAATAAGCTTGGGAGTGTGGTCGGACATGAGAAAGTGTAGTAAATGGATATATAAATGTTATCGAAATGAAAACAATAAACAAATATAAAATGGAACAGGCTCACCAATTCAATACTTGTTATTGGTCGGGATATGTGATCACGTCGGGCTCACCAATTTAGGATTTGTCCTGGTGCGAACTTGACAGACGCAAAGACCAATCACTAATTATTCGAACTTGTCATATACCCACGAATACGAGACCAAGGAAGAACACGATAGCGTAGTCGGATGGAATAGTATATTTGGATGGTTATGCCAAAATACCGATGCGTTCCAACTAACTGGCTAGAGAGTCGAATACGAGCATGCAACGTAACACGACAGCGTGCCAAATGGCGAGGATGCTTGACCGGGTGCCTTCAGCTTAGCGAGTCCAGTTAAACTATCAAGGTCAGCATCAATGTCGAAAGTCGTCAAACCCTAGGCTACTGATTTTGGGGAAGTGTGTGACGCTACAATCCTATCATGTTATTTATTCTTCTTCCTTCTCACCTTGCGTTCTCAAACTTAAAAAAAGCTCTACCTATCACCTATTCTCCATAAACCTATCAATGTTGGTTCCTTCTTGCCGTTTCCTTTTTCCTTTTCTTTCTCTATTTTGTCCTCCTCTGCACTTTCTCTCCCTTGATTTCTCTGCACATATTTTTCATGTCCGTTTTACAACCAGTCCAACCAATCGTCTGCAGCTATGACACCTGGGGAACCCATCTGCACCCAAGTCCTTGGAAGAAAAAACAAACAAACAACACTCCCTACAAATTTAATCAACACCCAACCGCCCATTGGGCTAACCAGAGCTACAGCAGCCGAGTGGGTAGGCCTACTGTATCAGAATCCACCAAAGACTTGGGACCGTTCCGCAAGACCTAGAAGCGAGCGAGAGGAAATCAATTGGTTTACACTAGCTCGTTAAAAAATATTGGATATTTACCAGGGCTGCAACAGACAAGTGAATGGATCTACTCATCGGAATTCAGCAAAGACCTCAAGCCATTCCGCGACAGCTAACAGTGAGTGCGAAGAAATCAGTTGGTTATTGCAGGCTGGTAAAAGAGATCTAGGAAACGAATACAATCTGTAACGTGAGTCCAATACTGGACGAGGGAGTTTTGAATCGTACGCAACAGTCGGGGACAACGAAGTCATCAAAGCTCGAGTAAGTTTGCTTACTTGCTTTCCAAAATCTAGCTTCCCGTAAAAAATACTTAACGGCTTTGAAATTCCTTTTTTTATGCATTGGTACATTCTTTTTGTTTACTGAGTTATTGACCTACGTTTTTCTCCTTGTCTTGACATATTTCAAGCTAGATTAGTATAGTATAGCCAGGGGCTGGTTATACTACCATAATCTAGCTCAATAACGATAACAGGCTTTAGATTGACAAACCTATAATTGTAATAATATATTACTTGTCTTTTGAAGATAGGGAAAGTGTTTGTCTGAATACCTAGTGTTTTTCCAACCCACTTTTTCCGCTTAAAATTGGTGAACTGAAACGTTCTTTTTGTTCAACTATTGTTATAGAGCTGGATCTTCTGTGTGCCAACACTTAAAAGACCAGAGTTGCAGGCTAACTTTCGTGGTTATCATTCGTTGCCCATGCGTGACATGCATCTCTGGAATACCTCCATCAGTCCCACTGATACTTATGTAGATATCCAGTCTGTATTTGAAGGCGTCTGATGACTTGGCCTTCAATAGGGTGTGCAGAGAATTCCATGGCTTGCAAGGTTTCGCCGCTAAGGAACTCATTTAAACTTTTTTGTGTTCTCATTTTCAACCTGGATAGAAGAGTCCTGGAGATTAACTTCAGGACTGAATTTCACAGGTGGTTTATTAGGATGAGTAGGGTTGCAGCTGATATAGTATGCCGTAATGACACTTTATTTTCACTAAACGGCCTAGCTACTTCATGTCATCAGGAGTTAGGTGTGCTATGATTTAGTCGGCCTAAACCCGTCTTTGGAGTCAGTTAACACTAAATTCTGTATCATATGGATCAAAAGCTGTTAGTTCATCATTTTCGCTATAATATTAGCAATAGATACGATTTGGGAAAACGATATGTGGCTGTAACGGATATATTTTTCTTAACCTCTGTATATGGGTGTGACGGCTACCCCCTACCAGTTCGAAGAAAATCTCTTCTGAGTATTGTCGAACGATTTTCACTACAGAACGGCCTATGACTGGTTTTATTTCCTTTATTACTGATTGTCTAACTGCATCTAGCTCAGGAAACCTATACGAAATAGAATGCTTTGAGATTTCCTTAACTTTCGTCATTTTGAACTCGGTGAACTTCAGAGCTTGACAATTTGCATCAAACTCACTTCATTTTGTCCCACTTTTTGCTGTTATGGTTGGGGTCCACGGGATAAGAGGGACCAGTGGTTGGATACTCTAGGTGATATGGCTCGGAACCGATGTCAGTGGCGCAGATGTATACACACATTATCCTCATCTTAACAACGCTATACCGAATCTCACCATTTTCTCATTCTTCCTTTCTTTTCGTACTTTATATTTCTCCTGACTGCATTCTCTTATCTTCATCTTTCACTTCACTGTCTTTTTACTTGATGTAGTGATATGAGATGAGGTGTTGCAAGTTGGACCGTTACGCAGCAATGCCTGGTCCTAGGTTGATCTGGATGGTTATGTCAGCCACGTCGCTAACCAGATGTTGCATACTATGTGGGAGGTTATTCTTGCAATTCATGTAGTTGTATAACAACCTACTACGTATCCGTACAGTAAGCCATTAGCTACATTCATCGTGTATATAGGTTCATCATATAATCTGGTCGCTCAGATAACGCCCGACACTGTAGCTGCTACCGTGATGAAGTTCTCGGGTTTGCATATCACAATGACCCAAGGGGTTACACTGCTTGGAACACTTATTCCCTCGTGGTTCTACCATGTAAAAAAATTCTTTTGGATGGTGGTAAGGCGAAAAGCAATAAACTTTTATAGTGTAAAATTCTATATATGGGTTCCAGGGCAAAGTCATGCTGCTGACTGGATTGGCTATGACAGCAGTAAAATGTTTCCATTGGGTGACCGGGAGTGCCGAGCTGATGCTGCCTTAAAAGAAGGAGGGGTGTCACTAAAGGTTGGCTCCAAAGGTTACACGCTTCTTTGTCTTCTGTTGCTGATGGTATGGGTTTTCTCTCTCCGGCGTTAGAACAATCACATCTCGCATGAACAATTCTCAAAAGGCTGTGTGACGGACCTCAAGCAGATGTTCGATGAATTCTGGGGTCACAAATCTTTTGCCTTTCAGGTACCTTTAGAAGAAGTAACCCTCCACGATGTAGGCAGTCGGGACGTGTCAACCACCTGCAGGCTTCCAGTAGTACACAGGACCCAATTAAACATAACCTATCTTCCTCAACTTTGTTTCCTTTTTTTGCCTTCACCTCCTGATGCTAATAATAGGCCCCTTACGCCCTCCCCAACCTCTAACTCTATGGCCATTACCAACGGTAGAAGCCATCGAAACGTCATTCCCAGACTCCTAAAACCCCGCCATCAATTTCATGTAGGAACTTTCAACCTGTGATCTCAATGCCGAATCGGACAGGAGACATCATTTACCAGGACTCCGGGATCTCGAGTCTTGGATGTATGCAGTGTCTCTGAGACACGTATACAGGACCCGAGTGTGGTTATTAAATTGATCTCACCTGGCTAGTGTGATGAATATTTGAAATATACCTTACTAGTATCTGAAGACTTAGTGACCCGACCGATAGCTGCTACCTTGACGTGGTGGTCGGGCTTGCATATCACAATGACCCAACGAGCTATGCTGGTAGAACGCTTGTTCCCTCAAGGTCCTACCATACCAAAAAGGTCTGTTGGATAGTGGTTAGACGAAAAGCAGTTACCGTTATAGTGTAAATTGCTACACTATGATGGGAGTCTGAGGGCGAAGTCGTACTGCTGCTAGCTGGATGGGGTATGACAGCAGTAAGGTGTTTCCCTTGGATGACCAGCAGTGCCATGCTGATGCTGCCTTCTCAGTGGAAGCGTGGGGGGGGGTTTGAAAAGGTCGGCCCCAAAAATAACACACTCCACCATGCCCCACGGTCTTCCGGGCCGGCGGTGTTGGTTCACTTGTCGTTTCCTTTCGCTCATCCGGCCCCAAAAATACAAAAGTTCAAAATAATCCAACTGAAAAGGCTGGGTGTGACAGGCCTCAAGCAGATGTCCGATGGGCTCTGCAGTCACAGAAATCTCTTTCAGGTACCTTAAGAAGAAATAGCCTTCCACGGTGTGGGCAGCTGGGAAGTGTCAGCCGCCCTCACAACTCTGTCAGCACTCAAGTTTCTTCTCACTGCTATCCACCTCCTTCATCATTGCGTTCTAATCCTCCTTCACGTCTCTTAATTAATGGTGCCGCATCATCTTCAATTTCTCTTACCTCTGCAGCCTTCGATAACGATCTGAGTCCACAGAACAGCATTACTGGTCTCCTTAAACCACGCTCCAAATTACATATTGGAGCCTTCAATGTCCGCACCCTCCGTCAAATTGGCCAACAGGCTTCGTTAGCAAAGACTCTAGCAACTCGGGGCATGGATGTGTGCTGTGTTTGTGAGACACGCATACAGGACCCAAGTATGGTTATTCACCTGACCTCTCCTGACCAATCTGGTGAATCCACAAAATTCACCCTTCGAGTTTCTGGAGATTCGATAGCTAGCTCTCGTGGTCTTGCAGGTGTAGGTATAGCATTAAGCACCAGGGCAGAAAACTCACTACTAGACTGGATCCCAGTTGATAGTCGCCTCTGCGCTATGAGGCTGAACGGCACAGTGATAACTAAAAGGAATAGTGAGACTCGCCGTCGTCTCTTTGTAATCTCTGCTTACGCACCCACTGACTGCAGCTCGGATGAAGTGAAGGACGAGTTCTACCATAAACTGTCTAACCTCCTCTCGAAAGCCAAACGTTCGGACGTAGTGGTTGTTGCAGGTGACCTCAACGCACAGGTGGGTAGACTGAGTGAGGCAGAAAGGCACTTAGGTGGCACTTTCGGAATCCCAGCTGAACGTACAGATAACGGACAACGTAAACACCAAAGCTGTGCTCAGTGAGAAGTTGGCTAGGCAGTTATCGGAACAAAAGACTGTCACTCATCCAGAAGAAGCTTGGTGTCATCTTCAGTCTACTGTAAAAGCAGCACTGGAGACTGTAGCCGACTCCAAGATAATGGCTGAAAAGAGCCAGTGGATATCAGCAGCTTCTTCCAAACTAATGGATGCACGTGAATGCATCCCTGCAGGCTCTGAGTACAATGAAGAGCGAGCACAACTTAAAAATAGACTGACGAAAAGTCTGCGCAACGATCGTGAACAGTGGTGGGCAGCGAAGGCTAAAGAGATGGAAAAGGCAGCGGCGATCGGTAATAGTAGACAGTTATTTAGACTTATTAAGGAGACTGGGGGGGAAAGATCAACAACGGTTAGTGAGGTATAGCGGAGAAGGACGGATCTATGATTCACTCGCAGGGGAGACGACTGGAACGATGGGCAGAACACTTTGAGGAACAGTTTAACTGGCCTCCAGCCACGATTGCGCTGCCCGCTATCCAGTCGGACCCTGAATGGGACATAGAGACAGGCCCCCCAACACTAGAAGTTGAGAAAGCGGTAGGTAGCCTGAAACGAGGAAGAGCAGCAGGACCAGACGGACTACCTGCTGAGGTATACAAGAATGGTGGTAGAGTGATCTTAGGTTAACGGAAGTGTTAGCCAGTATATGGGAATCAAATACGATCCCCTCCGACTGGTCTAAGTCACTCATCATCCCAGTCTTCAAGAAAGGCGAGAAGTCCTCTTGTGATAACCACAGAGGAATCAGCCTGACAAACATAGTGTCTAAGATCCTAAGTTCTATAATTCTCCGACGCCTGAGTGGAGCTCGGGAACAGCAAGCCCGAGAAAACCAGGCAGGCTTTAGACCTGGCCGTGGATGTATCGACCAAATATTCACACTGCGCCAGGTCCTGGAACATAGGCATGCTTACAGACGCCCGACAATAGCTGTATTTCTCGACCTGAAGGCGGCATTTGACTCCGTTGATCGAGAAGTCTTATGGCAATGTCTGTCTCTGAAAGGCGTGCCTAGTAAGTACATCACGTTATTGAAAGCTCTCTACTCGAACACTTGTGGGCATGTTAGAGCCTATGGTGAGTTGTCCAGGGAGCTATACTCATTGAGTGGTGTCCGTCAAGGATGCCCACTATCCCCATTCTTATTTAATTTTATCATAGATATTCTTATGGAGGTTTCCCTCTCGTCACCTAATTACACAGACGTTGACCCAATCACAGGTGAATTTTCTTTAGATCTAGAATATGCAGATGACATAGTCCTGTTAGGTGAAGACGCTGACAAGATGCAGAGTCTTCTGAACACTTTGAGTGGGAATTTGAGAATGTTTGGGATGCGATTTTCACCACCCAAATGCAAATTTTTGCTCCAGGACTGGTCTTCAGCGGTACCGCGGTTAACAATAGAGAGTGAAGTGGTTGAGTGTGTTGACCACTTCACTTACCTGAGAAGTAGGATCAACCCTGGTGGGTTAGTTGCCGATGAGATTTCTGCACGGATACAAAAGGCTCGATTGGCTTTTGCCAATTTGCGCCACCTATGGCGCCGCCGTGATATTCGTTTGTCTATTAAGGGTCGCGTGTACTGCACAGCAGTCCGCTCTGTTCTACTGTATGGTTGTGAAACATGGCCATTGAAAGTGGAAGATACAGAAAGGCTTCAGGTGTTTGACCACCGTTGCCTTCGTAGTATAGGACGTATTCCGTGGTGTCACCATGTGAGTAATGCAGAAGTTAGGTGTAGAGTTTTAGGGGAGAAGAGGTAAGTCAGTTGACGAGGTTGTGAACCTTCATCGACTGAGATGGTTGGGACACGTACTACGTATGCCTAGTCACCGATTGCCTCGTCACACAATGTTGGCTGAGGTGGGTCTAGGCTGGAAAAAGGCCCGAGGTGGCCAGACTAAAACATGGCACCAATGTATGAAGTCTCTGACTGTTGGTTTAAGCCATGTAGGACGATGCAGACTAGGTGGTTGGGGTCCACGGACAAGAGGAACCAGTGGTTGGAGACCCTAGGTGATATGGCTCAGAACGGAAGTCAGTGGCGCAGATGTATACACACATTATCCTCATCCTAACAACGCTATACGAATCTCAGCATTTTGTCACTTTTCTTTTTTTCTTCTCATACTTTATATTTCTTTTGACTACATTCACTTATCTTCATCCTTCGCCTCACTACCTTTTTACTTGATGTGCTGATATGAGGTGTTGCAACTCGGACCGTTATGCAGTAATGCCTGATCCTATGTTGATAATGATTGATAGATTGAAAAGTAGAGGTTGAGTTATACTAGACAGCCTCAGTATTTTTATGTAATGCATTAAACAGAAGACTTTTTTACAAGTCGATTTACTTTCTGCAGAAATACACCATCAATGCTGCAACAGGCGTCACACTAGTCTTGTTTACGTCTGAGGCTAAAATTAACAGTCTGACATTTGGGTTAGGGTTTAACCTGAGACTATTTGAAAGAGATAGAGAGACCATTGGTCAATTATGGACAAGAATGCATTTAATTTAGAGCAATCTAAGTGATAGTTAATTGGCACAGAAACTGTCAGGTTATCAGCATACAGAACGAGGAGACAAACAGAGAAAGTACACCACCTTAAGACATATGAGCTTCACTAATTAGTTTCCTTTGCAGAAAAATAAGAATACCTATGGCTCAGTATAAGCTATAATAAGCTTATTTAACAAGACTTATCTAGAAATAGAGTGATTTTATTTCAATATAGTATTATTTTAAGTTATGTTAAAGTATATTTCTACTTATCTTTCTGTGTTTATTTCAGAATTGTTATCATTTTGGATTTTTATACTGACTGAAAAGCATCTACAAACTTATATAATATCAAATGGATATTGAAGTTGAATCAGCTGAGTAAATTTCCTAATATTGATAAATATGGAATGATTTTAATTCTAATTTTAGTCTGTTTATTAGGTGTGTTAGAGAGAGATGCATGAAAAGTGAATTACCAGGCATATTTACTGGATAACTTATATATTTCAGACACAATTCTATTAATAATTTAATGTTCATTGTCATGTCAGGTAACTAACTTCACAACTTTGAGACATGGTTCAAAACGTCTATCTCGCCTTCTTACTGGATGGGTTACAAGGTTACTAGGACTTATCATATATCTAGGATAGATGCAGAATCATATCTATGGTGTGTATTTAGTGTTGTATCGATAAGCATAGATTCGGTTATTAATATCTCCTTTCCTTTGTCCACTGAAACGATTTATATGTACTACTAATCTATCTCAACCTGTTGTGTGAATTGGTAAGTTTTGAGATGACTAGCCTTTACACGAATACACCAACAAACATAGTTCTGAAGGTAATTAGGAATGGCCTTAACGATACCAATTACCCCTTACACATTGAAGAAAGGTGGTGACGATGATGATGATGATGCAGGAAATCATACTAGGAGTACGATTTTGACTGACATCCAAAGTTTTTAAGTTTTAAAATAAAATACATAAACAAACTGAAAGGATTGCCATGGGATCATCATGAATATGCCCCTATCATCACAGATATTATTTATGGATAATTGTGAAGCGATGGCTCTTCAAACATTTACTCTCACTCGAAAGAAAAACTGTCGATATGTAGATGATACGTTTACAGTACTGAAATCGGAACACATCAACAGGTTGTTGGTACATATATAAGTTCAGTAGTGAATCAAATCCAATTTACCTCTGACTTACAAAGTGATGAAAGTGAGCTGGAAATGTTGGATTGCAAGATGAAGTGATAGCAAGATGGAAGTTTACATACTAGTGTCGTCTATAAGAAACCTTCCAATTCGAATTGTTACTCAGACTTCGAATCCTCTCCTCACATCTCAGTTACAAAGGACTTACTTAGTTAAATACTTAGATAATATGGCAGAAAAGCTTACTAGTAGGCCAGAAAATTTAAGACAAATAATCAGAGATATCAAGAATACTCTGCGTCTCAACGACTACTCACTTGAATTGATTGATGAATATATTCATAAGTAATCGACGTCAAACACATAGAGTTTTAGGCAAGAGAGTTGAGAGAGTTATTGGGGTTATGAACCTTCATGGATTAAGTTAGCTGGTTTCAATGTGTGTTACTTATGTCTAGCCATCGCATGCTTCATCACAGGTAGGTTCAATCTGGAAAAGGTTTGCAGTGGCCAGACTAAAATGTGACATCAATCGATGAAGTGCTCGACACTTGTTTTGAGCCAATATGGGGCGATGCAGACTAGCCGATTGTAGTCGACGGGACAAGAGAGACTACCAGAAGTAGGAGACTCTTTTGTCTTAGCAGTTCCTCATTCCTCCTCCCTCTCTTTGACTTCTTTCTGCCTCTTCTCACCTATTTCTCCTTCCTTCTTCATCTCCCATTTTACTGCCTTCTTACTTAATGTGCTGATATGAGATGAGGTGCGTGGCAACTTCGACCGCTGTACAGTCATCTCTGCCCCCAAGTTAATCTTGATGATGAATCGAGAGAAGGATACGAGGAGGAGGAGGAGGAGGAGGAGGAGGAGTCGTGCCAATGATATTCACAATTCTACTACTAATAGTAATAATGATGACAAAGTTGAGACACAGACAGACAGAGAGAATTCAAAGCTTCCACTGTGTTACAATAGAAAGAAGGCACCACCTTATAGACATGAAGTAGAATTCTCAATAAGGCTGACTCTCTGGGAACAGATTAGTGGTATTTGAAGCTACAAACGCGTTTAGAAACCATCTTTGTAGGTTAAAAGATCCTATTGATGTAATTAGGCAATGTAAGTTGGAGCAATGGACCAATATACGTAGATGTAGAGAAAAGCTCGGCTATAGGTTTATACAGATAACTACAGACAATTGAATGGGATAGAGCGACAGTATTAAAAAGTAAGCAGTGAGTTGGGTGGAGGGAGATATGGAGAAGTTGATAATCGAATGTTTGGTTGTTAAAGCAAACACGAAAGCACTGCGATGTACACATCATAAAGAAGGTGAGAGAGAGAGAGAGAAGAGAGAGAGAGATGAAAGACAGACAGACAGAGAGAGAGGATTCGAAACACATAAACCACATCTGAAAGTTGTGGAGTTATTGACGTGATGATATGACTATGAAGAATAAATGATGTCGGAGATATATACATAGGTTAGCCAGTGGATATGACTGCTCGTTCATTGTTGTTTTAGACATTATTTCCCATGAGAATGATTCTCTTATGATTACTACAAAAGGATTTGTCTCCCGACTCCATTATAAAAATATGAATTCAGACAAAATTAGAGCAATCACCAATCACCAGGTTCTACTACCCAGTTTGTGTAGATTTGACAAATACAAGAGTGGAGTAGAGTAGAACAGAGTGAGGTTTTAGGGAGGGAGAAGATGAAAGTCAGTTGACGAGGTTGTGAACCTGCATCGATTGAGATGGCTGGCTAAGACATGTATTACGCATGCCTAGTCACCGATTGCCTCGTCACACAATTTTGTTCGAAGTAAGTTCAGGCTGGTAGGAAGGCCCGAGGTGCCCAGACTAAAACATGGCATCAATGTATGAAGTGTTTGACTGTTGTTTTCAGCCATGTGGGGCGATGCAGACTAACCGGTTAGGGTCCTCGGGACAAGAGAAACCAGTGGTTGAAGACTCTGAGTGATCACACAACTCACAATCGATGTCAGTGGTGGAGATGTATCCTCACACACATTCTCTTCATCGTAACCACGCTATACCGAATCTCACCATTTTCTCATTCTTCCTTTCGCTCTCTCTCTCTCTCTCTCTTTGACTACTTTATATTTGTTTTGAGTGAATTTTGTTTTCTTCATGTTCCACTTGTCTGCCTTGTTTACTTGATGTAGTGATATGAGATGAGGTGTTGCCAGTTGGACGGTTACGCAGTAATTCCTGGTCCAATGTTGATAGATGGATGATGGATGAGAGAAGAGTAGAAAGGCTGAACAATAATTGCTAATTATCTAGGTTTATGATGAATGTTTAAGAAGATAATGATGTGTCCCTTTGTCTTTTTTTTTTCTCTCTCTCTCTCTCTCCATCTTTGAAATCAGAGTAACAACACCGTCTAGAAATGCTAGTTAGTCATATGTAGGTCTCCGTAGCCAACAGACCGACACTAACCACATCAGTTAGCAAGTGGACAGATTTGAGATACGTCCAGGAAGTGATTATGATCAGGGAGGTATGTTAGATGTTATAGGTGTCGGTGCGCAGAGGGCCCCTTGTTCAACCTGAAGTTTCATCCTGGTTGACAGTGATCAACAATGCGTATCTACAACGACTTGGCACTAAGATACAGTGGACAAAATTAAAGTTATCAACAGGTTCTACAACCGCAGTTTGTATAGATTTGATAAATACCAGATTAGAATTTTATGGAGAAGAGGTAAATCAGTTGACAAAGTTATAAACATTCATCGACTGAGATATTTGGCTAGGATTTGTGTTATGTATGCTCAGTCACTGATTGCCTCGTCACACAATATTGACCGAAGTAAGTAAGTTCAAGCGATACATATACTACAAAGAAAGCGCGATGGCGAGACAGAATAGGAGAGGATTCGAAACACGTGAACCATATCTTAAGGTTGTGGAGTTATTGACCTGATAATACGTACATACGTTATCCAGTATATATATATATATATTCATGAAATGAATAGATTTACGTTCCTGTATACATTTTGTATTTCCAGTGTAATACGTTTAATAGAACAATACTTAAAGGAAAGTAATCTACTACGTACTTTATGTGCACTACAAGTAAGTTAAATTCTATTTGTATATAATTGAATAATAAATATTTAAGGAAGAGACAAATGTATCATTGAATACTGTTGAATGTATTGAAACTTTCATCTCAGATATTATAAATGGTCATTGGGATATTGTATTACAAACAGTGAAATATTTAAAATTACCAGAATCAAAGTTGATGGACTTATATGAACAAGTAATACCTTATTATTATTATTATTATTACGATTAATAATATGAATATAAAGATTATAATTGAATTGATTGAATTACATGATATTAGTGCAGCTCGTTCAATACTTCGACAAACTGATACTATGATACATATGAAACATAATCAAGTTGATCGTTATACACATTTAGAAAATTTATTGAATCGAACATATTTTGATCCTAAAGAAGTAAGTAAATGATATACACATGTAAACTTATTATTCTCTATAAATAAATTAAAAAAAAAGGCATATCCTAATGGACAAACAAAAGATAAACGTAGACAATTATTAGCTACATCATTATCTGAAGAAGTGAATATTGTTTTACCATCACGTTTATTACTTCTACTTAGTCAATCATTGAAATGGCAACAACATCAAGGATTACTACCAGCTGGTAGTACAATTGATGTATTTCGTGGTAAAGCAGCAGTACGTGAACAAGAAGAAGAGAAACCACCGACAAAATTATCTACAGTTATACGTGTAAGTTATTTTATTTAAGGTTAATCATTCATTCATTGTTAGCATGTATTCATTCTATCATTCTGAAATGAATCCTCCTCTAAACCAATTCATCTTCATATGGATTATACCATGTCAAGATAAGTCAGTGGATTGGCATGTCAACTAGTTGTCACGATCACATCTTAACGAAATTCACAACTTATCGAAATAGTGGTGATGTAGAGAAACATGTTGAATTGTTGAAGAGAGAGACAGGCAGATGAAATCAATGTAGAACCTCATACACACAAGCGCATCATCTCAAGTTACCAAACATCATGGTAGTATACAAAGAACAGGTGGATTGAGAAGAATTGATGTCAAAGTAGAGAATTTGAAGATGGAAGTTAGTGAGAATCAGTAAGAGTCAGTCTCGGGAACCTCACCATCCACCACATGACTCATACCAACAGTCAGGGACTTCATTAACTAGTGCCAATTATTGGTTCAGTCACTCTGGAATCTCTCCCAGCCTTTACCCAGCACGTCAAGGTAGACAGTTGCTCGATCGGCCCACCTTATGTACACATTCTCTAAGAGTGTGAATAAAAAGTCAGTAAAATCTCAGCTTTACACACTTTATCAAGGATAGCCCTATTTCAATTGTATAATTACCAATAATACTACATAAACTACATCTAGATTGAAACATTTAAACCAGTATGTTAAAATCCACTGAGTAACCATGTGCTCCTTCATGCAGTAGGCAACCAATCGCTTATGTGTGACACTTATACATGTAAGATGTTTTGTTTAACAAAATGTACATAGAATCTCATAAATAAGGTTCATTGTGATTACAGTTGGCATTTACGCTATTCATATCATTAAGACTCCTGAAAACTATTGATTTCCTTCATTTCGGGGATGCCTTACCTATACTACTCACTTCAATACTCAAGGATGTCATTCATTGTTGCCGTAAATTAATTCCACCATCGTGAACTGAATCCTCCTCCAAACCATTCATCTTCATATGGATTATACCATGTCGAGATAAGTCAGTGGATTGGCATGTCAACTAGTTGTCACGATCACACCGTAACGAAATTCATAACTCATCGAAGAAGTGGTGATGTAGAGAAACACGTTTGAATTGTTGAAGAGAGAGACAGGCAAATGAAATCAATGTAGAACCTCGTACACACAAACGCATCATCTCAAGTTACCAGACATCATGGTAGTATACAAAGAACAGGTGGATTGAGAAGAATTGATGTCAAAGTAGATAATTTGGAAAAGAAGGTGATCGTAAATATTGATGGTTTAGAAAATGTCAAGGAATGAATATATGTACGTTGTTGTAATGGATTGATATTCAATCATGTCATCAGGAGTCTTCAAAACCACCGATTTCGATGATCTCGGAGATCCCATCCAGACAATGTACATCTCCCTTAATTGATATGAAACTAATATCTCTATCTATGTGGTTAGAATTCAGTAACTCGATTGTGTTTAGCCATTGGGTATTAGGTTCGAGTTGGGCTCTGTCTACTGAGATCCTTGGGCAGCCAGCCAAACAGTATTATCAATCGGTTCGTTGCCTACTGCATGAAGGAGCACATGGTTACTCAGTGGATTTTAACATACTGGTTTAAATGTTTCAATCTAGATGTAGTTTATGTAGTATTATTGGTAATTATACAATTGAAATAGGGCTATCCTTGATAAAGTGTGTAAAGCTGAGATTTTACTGACTTTTTATTCACACTCTTAGAGAATGTGTACATAAGGTGGGCCGATCGAGCAACTGTCTACCTTGACGTGCTGGGTAAAGGCTGGGAGAGATTCCAGAGTGACTGAACCAATAATTGGCACCAGTTAATGAAGTCCCTGACTGTTGGTATGAGTCATGTGGTGGATGGTGTAGCCTATTTCGATGAGGTTCCCGAGACTGACTCTTACTGATTCTCACTAACTTCCATCTTCAAATTCTCTACTTTGACATCAATTCTTCTCAATCCACCTGTTCTTTGTATACTACCATGATGTCTGGTAACTTGAGATGATGCGCTTGTGTGTATGAGGTTCTACATTGATTTCATCTGCCTGTCTCTCTCTCTTCAACAATTCAACGTGTTTCTCTACATCACCACTATTTCGATAAGTTGTGAATTTCGTTAAGATGTGATCGTGACAACTAGTTGACATGCCAATCCACTGACTTATCTCGACATGGTATAATCCAGGTGAAGATGCATTAGGTTGGTAGAGAATTCATTTCATCCTTGAGTATTGAAGTGAGTAGTTATAGGTAAGGGATCCCTGAAATGAAGGAAATCAATAGTTTTTAGAAGCCTTGGTAACATGACTGAAAATCGATCATGTAAGGCCTGATATCACCGTTTTTTCGACTCATCTTTTGTTTGAATGCTACTGTGAAGTATGACAACTTTAAGTTACGGATTTTTGTGTTCAATCTTCTACATGGATTCTATCTGTTTGTGTCTGTCTGTCTTGCAGGAATATGATTCTTAATCTGTTTTGTTATTGTTGTTATTTGTCGGTTATTTACTATTTTTTGTAGGTAGTTCAAAAGTGTCATGTGGAATGTGCTAGATTCAGTCCTGATGGTCAATTTTTAGTCACTGGTTCAGTTGACGGTTTCATAGAAATATGGAATTTTACAACTGGGAAATTAAGAAAAGATTTGAAGTACCAAGCCCAAGTGAGTTTGTTCATTATATATATCTCTTTTAATGTGATATGATCTATAAATGGAGGCTTGTTGTACATGACTCCCTTGTAAACCAAAAGCTTGCAAACGACATAGTCCTCTTTCATGAAGTTATTGACAAGATGCAAAGTCTTCTAGATACTTCCGGTGACAATTTCCAAATGTTTCGAATGTGTTTTTCACTATCAAAATATAAATTGCTATTCTAGAAGCTGGTCTCCATTGACACCACATGTAACAGTAGGGAGTAGTGAAGAAGCTGAGTCCATTGACCGATTCATTCACTCGAGAAGTTGATCAATGATGGATGAACAAACGGTTCGCTTGACCTACTCAAGGCGTTACCCTGTTATTGAACTATCTATTAATGTCGCTGTGTTCTAACATATATCTGTGACACGTGTCCCTTGAGTGAATTGCTACCAAGTCAAATGTAGAGTTTTGAGCTCTATATAACAATCGATACAGCTGTTTTGACTCTTAGCGAGATGACTGGGAGTCGATCTCAAGGCCATGCACATACTATCCTTCGTTGTAGCCAAATAGGCGATTATGCCTATTGATGCTGACTTAGGTTGTTGATTTTCAAACATTGTGCCCCTGGTTCGAACTCCTGCTTCGCATAATTCTACCTCGTGACCAAATGAAATAATATACAATCATAGAAGTGTGGGTAATAGTTTAATCCCAACCGATCGCCGCTACCTTGGTCAGTATTGTATATCATAATGACCCAATGAGCTATGCTGGATGGAATTCTTGTTCCTTAGAGGTTTTACCACACGAGAAAGATCTGTTGGATAGTGGTTAGACGAGATGTGGTTCTCGTTGCATTAAGGGGCGGTTTGAGAGTGAAGTCGTACTGCTGCGGCAGTAAAGTGTTTCTTTTGGATGACCAGCAATCCCATCCTGATACTGCCTTAGCAACGGGAAGACGGGGGAGGGGGTTGGCAATGGTCGGCGCCAAGAATAACACACATCCCTCCTTCGCAGCATACCGGTGTTTGCAACAGTGACTCATAGTTGAATTCAGTGGCAAAGAAACAAAATCTCAAAATTGCCAATTGACCAGCCTCAAGCAGATGTCCCATGAACTCTGCAGTCATACACACTATCTCTTTTTTTTCAGACATCTCACATTGTGGGCAGCTAAGAAGTGTCAACCACCTGCCCTCACGTTTCCAGTATAGTTTAATACCATAAATCTATGGCCTACAGTCAATACCCCAGTGAGGTTTGTGACTGAGTCGTAATGTGTTCTTCAAGTTGTGGGATAAGTTCTCTTCTTTTCCACCAGATAGAATGGTTACCGATCTGTTCCATCCTGGTATAAGATACCTTAGCAGTGCGCACCCAAGAGTCGAACCCTGGACCTTCTGGTTCCATGGTCAACATGTTACCATTGCTCCTTAGTGTCTAATGTTCCTCTAGCTGATGTCATTTGATAATGAATTCCAACCTGGAATCAATTAATAAGTCTCTATAAACCTCCAGATAAAATCAGTTGTTTGTCTTGGTCTATTGTCTCTTTATGTGTTAATGGGAAGCGAATAATAGTTTGAGTAGCATAACTTGAATCCGTTTTATTTCAGGGTTTATTATTATTATTATTATTATTATTATTATTATTATTATTATTATTATTATTATTATAGGTCTGAGAGGAAGCGATAGACCTGAAGCAAAGAATAATGTAAATTTTATGCATCTCTTGTCAGAGATAGAAAGACAATATAAACGTAGAACCTCATGCGTCACTTCAAGTGGCCGTACTTTATGGTAGTATGAAAGGAACCAGTTGATATCGAAGCAGACAAAAGTGTATAGGAGAAGAGGGGATTTAAACGTGTTAGGGAGATGTCCGGGGAGTTGTGCTCATCGAATGATATCCGTCAAGGGTGCCCACTCTTTCCATTCTTATTCAATTTTATCATAAATATTCTTATGGAGGTCTCCGTCTCGTCACCTGATTACACAGATGTTGACCTAATCGCAGGAGAATTTTCGTTTGACGTAGAATATGTAGATGACATAGTTCTGTTAGGTGAAGACGCTGACAAGATACAGAGTCTTCTAAACACTGAATGGCAAGTGGAGAATTTTTGGGATGCCTCTTTCACTACTCAAATGCAAATTGTTGCTCTTGGATTGGTTTTCAACGGTGCCTTGGTTAACAGTAGAGAGTATAGTGGTTGAGTGTCTCGACCACTTCACTTACCTGGGTAGTAGGATCAGCCCCTGCCCTGTGGCTTAGTAGCCAATGAAATATCTGCAAGGATAGAAAAGGCTTGGCTGGCTTTCGCCAACTTACGCTACCTGTGGCGCCACCGTGACATACAATTGTCTATTAAGGATCGTGTATATTGCACAGTAGTCCTCTCTGTTCTACTGTATGGCTGTGAAACATGGCCATTGAAGGTGGAAGACATAACAAGTTGGCTTCAGGTGTTTGACCACCATTGCCTTCGTAGTGTAGGCCATATTCCGTGGTGTCACCACACCACATGAGTAACACAAGTCAGGTGTAGAGTTTAAGGGAGGGCGAAGAGGTGGATCAGTTGACGAGGTTATGAACCTTGATCTAGTTAGATGGGTGTCTGGGATATATGTTACGTATGCCTAGTCACCATTTGCCTCGTCACACAATGTTGGCCGAAGTAAGTTCAGCCTAGGAGAAGGCTGAAGGTGGCCAGACTAAAACATATCATGAATGTATGAAGTGTTTGACTGTTGTTTTGAGCCATGTGGGGCGATGCAAACTAGGTGGTTGGGGTCCGAGGGGGAAGAGAAAGTACCAATGGTTGGAGACTCTATGTGATATGGCTCAGAACCGATGTCAGTGACGCAGATGTATGCACACATTTTTCTCATCGTAACGACGCAATACCGAATCTCACCATTTTCTCATTCTTCCTTTCTCTCTCTCTCTCTCTCTTTGACTACTTTATATTTGTTTTGAGTGAATTTTTTTCTTCATGTTCCAGTTCACTGTCTTTTTACTTGATGTAGTGATATGAGATGAGGTATTGCCAGTTGGACCGTTACGCAGTAGTGCCCGGTCGTATGTTGATGATGATAATGATGAAACGTGTTATGGTTAGTAAGAGCATCCAACCATTGAAAGATGCGTCAAGTAGATAAAGGTATGTAGGAGGCGAGGGAATTTAAAGGTGTTAAGGTTAGTATGAGCATTCAAGCATTCAAAGAGACGTCAAGATGTGAATAAATCTGCGCCATTTTGACCGATTTTCAGCCATATCATGAAGATTCTCCAAAATCTCTGGTTCCTATCAACTCAGGGACTCCAACCAGATTATTCAGCTTGTAAATTCTTCAATCCTTAAAAAAAGTTTTCAGAGTGGAACTATTTCTTAGGGATTTCTTATCATCACAAGTCGGCATCAGTCAATAGTCGAATAATACATATTGAACAGCTGTTTTGTCCTGATTACGTACTTTTCAGCAGTGTACATCCATAATCTTGATTGTTTGTAAGTGTGGTATGCTTTTTGCACTCATAAATTGAAGAGTACTCTTACAAAATTGTCATGAATCTGTGTCTTCATTCACTGTTGGTGGTGAGCCGTTGATAAGTTCGGGTATCCGAGTAGTTGTGTGAGTGGTGAAGTTTCCGACCGCAGTGGCATAACGTCAATCTGTGTCACCTTCGGAGCTGTCCAGATGTTAGTCTGAAGCTGATACCTCGGGTTTAAAACACTTCGGTGAAAACAGTCCTCCTCTACGCCCGTGAAATCTGGCCACTTCCAGCTGAGAATATACACCCGCCCTGTGTTCGATTATCATTGTCTCCATAGGATTGTTCGTATCCACTAGAAACACCACATAAGCAAGTAATCCTGAGGTAACACAGCGTGTGAGTTTCGACATGATGGAGGTCGCCACCGACTTCGGTGGCTTACACATATATTATGCGAGTCGTCATGTCAACGGCTTCCACACCGTTCATTGTTTGCTAACTCTTGAGCTGAATGGAAGAAGTGGAGGGTTGGGAGGTCAGTGTATGATATGGCACTATGGGATGAAGGATAGTTGTATCATGTTAGCACCTGTTGGTTCATCACGACTATCTGTGGTTGGGGTTCGGGAGATCATGTAACTCACTGGCTTGAGACATTATTAGATATAGCTCAGAATCCGAAGTTGTGCAAAGACTGTAGTGTTTTCCTGTTAACATTTATACTCATAAGTAGGCAGATGAATTGAACAAAATTGAGTAGTTTGTATGAAAATATTACCATCATCACACTCTAACCAGATCAGAGACTAAAGCGTTGAGGTGTGTTACACTGAAGATGACATTGTGATTTGTTAGCCCAGCTCCATATCTAACTATAGTAAGTTGATACTCAAAATTACTCAAATCAGCGATCATCGGGCCGTAAACCCCAGTGGTCGCTGGTTCGAATCCGGCCGTGGGGATAGAGCATTATGTGAACTATCATAGCTTTTATCCAGTTCAGTACAAGCAAATGTTAGTTAGGTGCTTATTCAGCTGAATTCAGTGAATATGCATAGAGGATACTTTAGAAGATGAAAGAGGAACACTGACTGATATTCTGCTGGAAAATAACTATCTATCAACATTTATCAAAGCGCCAAAACTAGATGTCCAGTTTGTCCGAAAGAAGGATGTCTTCATCACTCTTCTGTACAAAGGTGACTCTCATAGTGTAATTCTTAAACAAGACTTAATGCTGCCGTTAGAGGACTTACTATGTAGCCAGAGTGCGACTAATAGAAACCGCGAAGCTCGTATATTCCCCCAAACTCCCAAAGGATGTGAACAACAATGTCACATCCCATTGTATCTATCAATTCAAATGTACTCGTGTGGTGATACATATATAGGGAGTACTAATAGATCCATGAAAGTAAGAGCCTCAGAACATATTCCAAAGTGTCTTTAGAAGCAAATTAAATCACCTGGTAGCAGACGTCCAAGTTCTTCAATCTTCAAACATGTCGTTGAGACAGGCCACAGGATTGATATGGCTACTTCGTTTACATCTATGTTGGGGACGGATCGATAAATTTGTTAAGACCTTAACTATATTAAGAAGTTTAAAACCACCTTTGTATGCTCGTAAACAATTTGTGTTGTCATATTAAATCTTCTTTGATAAATTGAACTATTGAAAACCAAGTTCGATGGAGTATTATTTTTCTCTCTATTAAGATTTTCATTGTTATTCGGCCTTCCATTCAACCTTCCAACTTGTGAACGCTATTCATTTTCTCACTCAGCTTACCTTCATGAATTTTCATTTAAATACCTATGACAAGTACATGTGTGTGTGTGTGTGTGTGTGTGTGTGTGTGTGTGTGTGTGTGTGTGATCTACACACATGCCATATGACAAGTGATTCACAATGGAAAGCTCAGTGATGTTATTGAAGTGAATTGAAGACAGGAGTAAGGCAAGGCTACCGCCTACTATCACCGATTATCTTCGTGATTATGGTTATGCAGCAAACTGAGGAGCGTGAAGATGGGCGTACGCTGGACCGGTGAAGAGACCCTAGAAGATTTGGATTTTGCCAACGATGATAATTTGTGTCTAATATGGCAGAAACTTGAAGATCTACAGGCGAACACTAACAAGTTGGGAGAAGAGGCGAGGCAGCGAAGACAAGGCTTCATTATATCATTATATCTTCCTTGATAAATTAAACTATTGAAAACCAAGTTCAATGTAGTATTATTTTCACTCTATTAAGATTTTCATTGTTATTTGGCTTTTCATTCAACCTTCTAACTTTTTTTTAATTGTTGTTGTGTTTTTTTTTCCACATTCTCTTACCTACTCTCACTTTATCCAGGATACTTTTATGATGATGGAGGATAGTGTACTTTGTTTAACATTCAGTCGAGATTCAGAAATGCTTGCCTCTGGTGCTAATGATGGAACAATTAAAGTTTGGCGTATACAAAATGGTCAATGTTTAAGACGTTTAGAGAAAGCTCATCACAAAGGCGTTACAGCTATTCAATTTTCTAAAGATAATACACATTTATTATCAGCTAGCTTAGATCATAGTATTCGGTAATGTTTATTCAATTTGTTTATTTTTCTATGTGCACAATTTTTAATCTATCTAATTTATGGACACCTGTTTCGTCCTATTTCGGGCTCATCAGCTTCATGTGCCTACCTCCCACTGGGAAGCTGTGGCTCATTACTTTAGAGACATGACTGTTAACCAGTAGATATCACGAGTCTGAGCCGTGGTCTTTACCTACTGAAGTTTGGGCAGCCAGGTGGGTAGTAGTAGTAGTAGTAGTAGTAAGTACCATTAGCCCTTCTTATACAATAGGTGTAATTCATTGTCTGCGTACTGCATGATTGCATTTCGATTTCTTAGTGGGAATCAACATCACTCATTTGAAAGCAGGTAACGACAAACAATATTAGTTGATTGGAGGCAATTTACGCCAGTCTAACTATCAGTTAACTTTGTGCACAAGATCTACTGACTCTAACCTGGAATGAAATAGAGAAGAAGATGGAACTGAGATGGAAGTACTAACCAATCATCGAGTAATGACGGATAGTAGCTAGCAGTGGAATCCAGAATGCGCATTTCGTCCTATTTGGGATTTGGAAGCTGGATATACCTGCTTCCCAGTGAGTGATGTTGTTCCCACCTCTGGGATTCGGACTCGGAAGCGATCGCTTCAAACGCCAGAGCGTTATCTACTACACCACCGAGCCGCGATAGCCACTTCTTGTGCGATGGGTATAGTTTTTAGTTTATGATTGTTTTTATATCATACCGTCGTTGATTGGACCGAATTGATCGGCGTCTATTGGTATATGGGATCCTGTGCAAATGCCTCGATATTACCTGTGCTCTTATGATAGCAATGATGGAAATACACATCCTGGATTCCACTACTAGCCACTATCCATCATTACTGCCAATACAGCACAGGTAATATCAAGGCATTTGCACAGGATCCCATATGCCAATAGAGACTGATCAATTCGGTCCAATCAACGACGGTATGATATAAAAACAATCATATTCTAATCACTGAGTAACCTTGAAAATGGTGTAGAGTGGGGATATCGTAAAAATGGCGCGAAAAAGACTATTTAAAAATGTTTACATTAATAAACGTTGTTTTGTGCACATCTAAGGTTTTTCCAACAGTTTTTAGAACGGCGATAGACTGTAAACAGTATTTCTCCAAGTGTTTTATAGTGAAACCGTATTGTTTGCACGGTGGGATCCGATGACAATAGACTACATGAAATTGTTTATCCTTCTATAATCAATGTAGTTAACTTGTGTCTTACAGGTGGGAAACTGCTGGTCGTATACCTCAGTGGTACTTAAAGGAAGTAGCCTCTTTCACCTACACCTAATTAAGCAGCATCGTTTCAACTACACGCTGCACAGACGAGGACGTCAAAGTACTGATCGCAAAAACAAGACAGGCGTTCATTAGCCTGAAACCAGTGTGAAGATCTTCTGCACTCAGTATAAAGCGTGAACAAGATCCGGATTTCCAACACTATCAGTGTCAGTCAAATCAGTGCTTGTATGTGCTGTTTGAGAGAGTTGGCGCGTTACGAAAGGGATTTCCAACAAACTACAGACATTCACCAACAACTGCCTACGCTGGCTTGATACTGAAGATCAGATAGCCAGAAAGAATAAGCAAGGAGAAAATCTTGGAATGAACCAACCAAGAACTTATCATCCAAAAAATATGCAGAGGGAGATAGTGGAGATGGATTAACGATACAGTGAGAAGGCCGACTGGGGACATTACGCTCCAGGCCAGGCCATCGAGTGGAATCCAGATGGGAAACGACGATTTGGGCGTCCGGGGCAAGGGTGACATAGAGAAGATCGCATGAGGAAGAAATGAGATCTTGTGGGCAGTAGTGGAGCCAGGTTCAAAGGTTTGTAGAGAAGAGAGTGGAATGGAGACGTGCTACTTAGGCCCTATGTTCCATTATGAACCCAAGGAAAAAAATAATAATATAATGATACCTCAGTGGTAACATTTCTCATTACAGTGTAGCATTAGCTGACATGGATTTGAATCTGAGTTGGGATATCATTTCCATTGAGATTGTAAATACATCATAACTGATGAGGGCTAACCCTAAGTGGTCTTCATCCAACAGACTTCTTAAATGCATACTCTTCTTCTTTTATAAAGTTTAACTGTAATAACTTAAGTTTTTTTCTCATTCTACCTCCTCCTGTCTTCCTTTCAGGATACATGGTATGAAATCGTGTAAAATCATTAAAGAATTTAGTGGGCATACTGGTGTTGTTAATTCAGTTTCTTTTCTCCCAGATGGGCATAATATTATTAGTGGAAGTGCAGATGGTTGTGTACGTATATGGTCTGTGCGCTCTGGAGAGTGTACAAATGCATTCAAGGTAGGTAAATAGTTATGATGATATGAATTATTTATGCTTTATTTATTTTCCCTTGATTGTATTATAGTTTAGTAGGGGAGAACATTAAAACTCAGATGGGGAAGACAACAAGACAGGTCACCCTTCATTGATCTGAAATCAATGTGAAGATCCACTACACTGTACTTAACATGAAGCGTGGAAAACATCCGGATTTTCAACACTTATCCAGTCAAGTAAATCAGTGGTTCTGTGTGATGGTTGAGAGACATGATGCGTCACGAAAAATATTTCCAACAAGCTACAGACATACACGGACATCTGCCGCTTACGCTCACTCAATACTAAAAATCAGATCAGAAGGCCAGAAAGAACAAGCAACAAGGAACTCCGGCTGGCAACAAACTGACCAAGAAGCTGTCGCTCAACAAATATGCAGAGATAAAAAGTGGAGATGGAATGGATTCGACCTACACTGAGAAGATGGTTTGAGGACATCATGCGTCAGGTCAGGCCCTCGAGTGGAGCCGAAATGGGAAAGGATGAGTTGGGCGTCCCAGCTGAGTGTGACATGGAGGAGGTGGTGCAAGGAAGAAATGAAAGCTTGTGGGCAGTCGTGGAGCCAGACTGCAGAGAAGAGAGTGAGTTGGTGATATGCTTCAGAACCTTTGTGTTCCACTAGGAACCCAAAGGATAAAAAATAATAAATTAGTAGAGAGAGTTAGTTGAGAACAATGTGAGTACACTGAAGAGAATGATTGACAGTTCGGAATTGTTGTATCGATAAAGAAATTGGAAGGACTGAATATATGTTTCGCCTTAGCAAGGGATTCATCAGCCGTATGCATCTACAAGTTCGTCAGCGACTGAACTCACAGCGAACGCATTAACCATTCAGTCATGAATATGAATTGATTCAGTAAGAGGAAGAATTTGACAATCAAGATTGTTAAATATATTCAAGCTTCAGAAGACGTCAATATAGATAATATACGTCTGGACTATTGTAACCGATTATTAACTATGTGACCAAGAATCTTGATGACTTCAGCCAAGCAGTACACAATCTTCGTCGATTGGTCCCATGTTTTGATCTAACCTCCGTGAACCGTCTTCGAACCAAATCTGATTTCGCCTAGCATTGCACGTCGAGGTAAGCCGTGGCTAGGCAAGCGTAAGGTTCATAATCTTGTCGACTGACTCGCTTATCGTGTCTAATTAGTCATACAGCGATTCTATCATACACACTAACAGTGCTACCGAAGCGACTATATTCAGAAACCCGTAACCGCTTCATGTTTTTCTCATTTCTCATAACCGTATGACAGACGAAAAAGCCGATTGCATTGCTTGAGGGGGGGGAGGAATATGCTCGTCCTTTAACAGGTAGTTGGGTATCTCTGTAGCTGGCGTCAAAGATAATGTGGTAATAATGTATCTGGTATAATGGCACATGTGTTACAGTTAAGCAAACTTGTGAGTGATAAGATATAGTATAGTGATTAACAAGGGAACAGGTCTGTGGTAAAAATAACTGCCAGTAAGGTATATTCGAAACAAGCTATTCATTACTTTTCAGCAGTACAAGATAGAAGGAAGCCACAGCGTGATCGCCACTGGTTTTGATTCTGATCTGTATCTGATAATGTCTCAAGCCAGTGAGTTACATGATCTTCCGGACCCTAACCACAGATAGTCGTGATGAACCAACAGGTGCTAACATGATACAACTATCCTTCATCCCATAGTGCCATATCATACACTGACCTCCCAACCCTCCACTTCTTCCATTCAGCTCAAGAGTTAGCAAACAATGAACGGTGTGGAAGCCGTTGACATGACGACTCGCATAATATATGTGTAAGCCACCGAAGTTGGTGGCGACCTCCATCATGTCGAAACTCACACGCTGTGTTACCTCAGGATTACTTGCTTATGTGGTGTTTCTAGTGGATACGAACAATCCTATGGAGACAATGATAATCGAACACAGGGCGGGTGTATATTCTCAGCTGGAAGTGGCCAGGTTTCACGGGCGTAGAGGAGGACTGTTTTCACCGAAGTGTTTTAAACCCGAGGTATCAGCTTCAGACTAACATCTGGATGGCTCCGAAGGTAACATTGATAGCTGTATGCCATTCCAGCTTTCGATATGCGATTGTAAATTTCATTGCTGTTACCTCCACCAACACTCACATAAACGTTTTGACTACTTTCAACGGTTCACCACCATGTTGGGTGAGCTCAGAAAAAGGCTCCTGCCATACCATACTTACGGACACCATTATCATTATGTGTGTGTAGCACCTATGATTGCTAACTAACACTTCAAGTTGCCTCTCATCATATGAAGACATCAAACAAGGTTTCAAGATAAAAAGTAAGGGAATTAAGAAGAAATCAGTCAGAATTGGATCGTCAACGGCATAGCTTCAAATTAATAGTCATGCCATGTTTTATTCTAATTACCTTTTCTTTCCAGCCTAAACCTGATTCATATAACATTGCACGAGATGAGGCCAATTGTAACTAGCGGTGCATAACACATAAATCTGACATCTGAGTTACGGTTAGGGTTCATAGCCTCATCAATTTTCGTTTATCTTCTGCCTACGGCTAACTTCATGATCTTTGACGTAGCTATTTCACTCCACATTCTCTATGCTATGAAGGTAAAGGGGGTGAAAAAAGTGAAACTTTACGATTTTGTCCACCTTTACACAGAAATCATAGTAGGACAACAGTGAACTGCAATGTAGTTCACTCAAATATTACAGTGGGACTCTTTAAAGCTAGAAAAGACGTCAACGGAGTCCAGTTCCAGAAATAAATCAGATCCTTTGTGAATTTATCCTTCAGTTTCTCCTTCTATGTATATTTTTTTGACACTTCATGAAACGCTCGGTACAAGGCTGTACTTTGTATAGGGCTAACAATAGAGAGTGAAATGATTGAGTGTGTCAACCACTTCACTTACCTAAGAAGTAGGATCAGCCCTGATGGCTCAGTGGCGATGCAGACTAGGTGGTTGGGGTCCGAGGGAGAAGAGAAAGTACCAGTGGTTGGAGACTCTGAGTGATCACACAACTCACAATCGATGTCAGTGGTGGAGATGTATCCCCACACACATTCTCTTCATCGTAACCACGCTATACCGAATCTCACCATTTTCTCATTCTTCCTTTCTCTCTCTCTCTCTCTCTCTCTCTCTCTCTCTGACTACTTTATATTTGTTTTGAGTGAATTTTGTTTTCTTCATGTTCCACTTCTCTGCCTTGTTTAGTTAATGTAGTGATATGAGATGAGGTGTTGCCAGTTGGACGGTTACGCAGTAATTCCTGGTCCTATGTTGATATTGGTGATGATGATGATCGACACTTCGTAATTAATGGAGAAGATATGATGGACATGTAGAAATGTGTATTGGCGTCGAAGGACTATTGATTGACTGATCCATCGTCTATTTGTCTACTAACTGTAGGCGTGATCATATAGAATACATTTTGATTGGTTCCTCTCCCGACTAGTCTTTTCTTCTTCATATCACTTCCCTCTTCAAAAGATTGGGCCGCACTATCTTTTCCTTGCGTCTGTCTGACCGATGCAGAGGGAGTTTCACCTTGTTTACTGGATGATCAGTAGTCTTCTCGATATTCTTTCGGCGAGCAAGTGAATAAGCATGCCAAGAGATTCACCTACCGATAGAGAATGACATCTATGGCGATATCTGGAGGATGACTTTTGTACATGTCGTTGTGTGTGTTAGCGGCTAACACCGTCCTTATAGTCCTCAGCATTACAGTCCCGGCATCAATGTTATTTAGGTAGACAAGATTTGTCGAGATGCCAGGCACCACAATGCCAGCAAACTGATGAAAGTGTCTTCTTCGAGAGTCGGTTGGTATTGTATGAGTTGTTGGGCCGATAAACAGGCGATATAATCCCAGAGGGTAGTGCGGAGGAATGAGATATCTGTTGAACTGTTTGTACTTCAGAACCACGCTGTCGTCCGGATTGGGCTAAATTCGTATCACGTTGCAGGTTATCCAGTCGTTGATATTCTGCAGACATGTTATTCAGTGTCTGGACGATGGTATCGGAAGTGCTATCACATGGGTTATGATACGAAATCACGTTACAGTACTGGTCGAGTTCAGGTGAGCCAAGCTTTCGAAGTAGGAGACGTAAAATTTCCAGGAATTATCTTGGCCAGAAAAATCCACTTTTAATTAGCCTTTGTAACACCTGAACCAACTATCGAAAGTCTCATTGGCATCAGGAAGGTTAGCGAAATTTAGTGATGGTATTGGTGATGCCATCAATTGAAGTAGTTATTAAAACTGGCATATTAGAGACAGCTATACCCGCTAACGATGCATGTATATCGACTGACAGCCACTAACATTCAACAACAAATTCCTAGTTGATTCCTGACCCGACTAATGAAGAAGATATGATGGACGTGTAAAAACGTGTATTTGCGTTGTCTATCTGTCTATCTAACCGTAGACGTGATAACATTATGGACATTTTAAGTCATCCCCCTCTAGACTAGCCTCTTTTCTCGTTTCGTGTCTGGAAACCTTGTTGACTAAGAATATTTGAAGCTTAGTTAGATAATGTTGATGGTTTTGTGTACTTTGAGTGGAATCGTCTAATCAACAACAATATCTTTCGTCGAAATCATACTCACAATTGAAGAGGGAATCAAACAACAAATATACATTCGTAGATGTTCTGATTACTAGAAGAGATTCGACGGAAATAGGAAACTGAAGTATACAAGAAAACTAACTCATCCCATCACCATCAATATTAAGACCAGGCGCTACTGCGTAACGGTCCAACTGGCAACACCTCATCTCATATCACTACATTAACTAAACAAGGCAGAGAAGTGGAACATGAAGAAAACAAAATTCACTCAAAACAAATATAAAGTAGTCAGAGAGAGAGAGAGAGAGAGAGAGAAAGGAAGAATGAGAAAATGGTGAGATTCGGTATAGCGTGGTTACGATGAAGAGAATGTGTGTGAGGATACATCTCCACCACTGACATCGATTGTGAGTTGTGTGATCACTCAGAGTCTCCAACCACTGGTACTTTCTCTTCTCCCTCGGACCCCAACCACCTAGTCTGCATCGCCTCACATGGCTGAAAACAACAGTCAAACACTTCATACATTGATGCCATGTTTTAGTCTGGGCACCTCGGGCCTTCCTACCAGCCTGAACTTACTTCGGCCAACATTGTGTGACGAGGCAATCGGTGACTAGGCATCGTAATACATGTCTTAGCCAGCCATCTCAATCGATGCAGGTTCACAACCTCGTCAACTGACTTTCATCTTCTCCCTCCCTTGAAGTCTACACCTGACTTCTGTGTTACTCACGTGGTGTGGTGACACCACGGATTTCGGTCTATACTACGAAGGCAATGGTGGTCGAACACCTGAAGCCGACTTGTTATGTCTTCCACCTTCAATCGACATGTTTCATAGCCAGCCATAGAGTAGGATAGAGTGGAAAGCTGTGCAGTACACATGACCCTTAATAGACAAATGGATATCACGGCGGCGCCACAGGTAGTGTAAGTTGGCTAAAGCCAGTCGAGTGTTTTGTATTCGTGAAGAGATTCCATCGGCCACTGAGCCATCAGGGCTGATCCTACTTCTTAGGTAAGTGAAGTGGTTGACACACGCAACGACTACCACTTTATAGCAACAGCACACAAAACATTATTCAAAGAAAGAGCGTAAACATACTATTTTAGTACAAAATGAATCCTTCAGACAAAAGAGGAAAACTATTTGATTACTTGTTATCCAGAAGAATGACTACCCATAGAACTTCATCAAAGATTGTTTGTCTGATTCACCAAAAACGGACTAATCATACTCATAAACCAACAAATGCCGATTTCGCTATACCCTACACATAAAGAACATTTTTGAAATCATGACTGAATTATTAAAGCCTTTTCAAATCTCTGTATCCTACAAGTCTAGAAAATAAACTGAAGAAACTACGAAGGACACTTCATCGGAGACAGTAAATAGTTAAGCATCATAACGTATCTTCGATCATATCAACTCCTACAGACAATTGGACTAGGAGAAGATGGAATATCTAACTGGATAGAAGAAGTACAAAGAATACCACAGAATTTTTAGATACCCAATATTCTGGTTAGTCAGCGTGATTAACAGACATATTTACCATTAGCCTAATTTATCAGCCAATCAGAAATGATAGGACAACCAATCGAAATAAATATGAAGACAATGACATCAAGATCTTTGTCAGAAGCAGCCAATCACATACACAAGATCATCAAAACAAGTTGATAAATAGATTGTACTGCTGATGAAGTGGCCTAAAATGACAATGAAAACTATCCAGCCTAAAGAATATCACACCAGCAAAATATAAACGTATACCTGGGTAACTTAGTTGCAGCTAATAGGTTAATTTATGGTTTAGAAGTCAATCTCTCATTAGGTTATGTGTCTTTGTGTGTGTGCACACACTACTGGTAGTTCATTTTTCGTTGAGTGTGTTGACCACTTCACTTACCTGGGAAGTAGGATCAACTCCGGTGGGTTAGTTGCCGATGAGATTTCTGCACGGATACAAAAGGCTCGATTGGCTTTTGCCAATTTGCGCCACCTATGGCGCCGCCGCGATATTCGTTTGTCTATTAAGGGTCGCGTGTACTGCACAGCAGTCCGCTCTGTTCTACTGTATGGCTGTGAAACATGGCCATTGAAAGTGGAAGACATGAGAAGGTTACAGGTATTTGACCACCGTTGCCCTCGTAGTATAGGACGTATTCCGTGGTATCACCATGTGAGTAATGCAGAAGTTAGGTGTAGAGTTTTAGGGAGAAGAGGTAAGTCAGTCGACGAGGTTGTGAACCTTCATCGACTGAGATGGTTGGGACACGTACTACGTATGCCTAGTCACCGATTGCCTCGTCACACAATGTTGGCTGAGGTGGGTTCAGGCTGGAAAAAGGCCCGAGGTGGCCAGACTAAAACATGGCACCAATGTATGAAGTCTGTGACTGTTGGTTTAAGCCATGTAGGACGATGCAGACTAGGTGGTTGGGGTCCACGGGACAAGAGGAACCAGTGGTTGGAGACCCTAGGTGATATGGCTCAGAACCGAAGTCAGTGGCGCAGATGTATACACACATTATCCTCATCTTAACAACGCTATACGGAATCTCACTATTTTGTCACTCCTCTTTCCTTTCTTCTCATACTTTATATTTCTTTTGACTGCATTCACTTATCTTCATCCTTCATCTCACTACCTTTTTACTTGATGTGCTGATATGAGGTGTGGCAACTCGGACCGTTACGCAGTAATGCCTGATCCTATGTTGATAATGATGATGATGATGACGCATTTAGGACTCATCAGCTGGATTAACCGTTCACTTCAGTAATGTTGTTGATGATTAGTTGTATTTTTTTTATTTATTTATTTCTTCTAAACAGGCGATTTCTGGCTTAGTTGGTCATGAAGTATCCATACATTCAATTCATTTAATGCCTCGTAATGCAGATCAATTTGTTGTTGCTAGTCGTTCTAATACAGTGGCAATAATGAATATGCAAGGACAGGTAAGAAAAAGTTGATAAACAGTCACATTTTTTTTTTCTCTTTATATATTTGAAATCTTGTTTTGTTTGTTAATAAAACCTTTGAACTGGAATGGAATGGGGTCAAGTGTTGTCACACTTCATAGTAGGTATACCAAAGAATAGGTGGATAAACAAGGAGTGATTTATCATCTTAGAGGCCTCAACCAGGTGGTCTACACCTCACCATACAGCTCAGAGGTTTCATGGACTTGTGTCATATCTTGATCCGGTTACCCTGAACCTTCTTCCAATCTAATCCAACTTCTCTTAGCATGACACATCGAAGTAAGTAATGACTTAGCATGTACAATACATGTTCAAGTCGTCTCAGTTAATTAACCTTATCGATCGACTTGCTAGGAAGTTCTTACCTTTTGCCCAATAAGACACCTATAGTCTTTTTTAATGGTGATATTTCACAGCTGTACAATAGGACTGTAGTGCAGTATACTCTTCCTTTTTATAGAGAGCTGAAATACCTCGCTGATACCACAGGTGACATAAGTTAACAAATGTCAAATGGGCTTTCTGTATCCGAGCTGAGAGTTCATCAGCAACTGGCCCGTTCTGGGTTATGCAACTGAAGTCGTCGATATATTCCACCACCACTTCATTGTCTATTATTAAATTGGGAGTATTTGCTACCAGTTCTGAAACATTATCTTACATTTCACTGGCGGTGAATTTTGTCAGCGTCTTCACCTAGCAGGACAATATCGTCTGGATATTCCAATTCAACTGGATGGCCTCCAGGGAGTAGGTCAGACGTATCTAACGTTATGTTGACTAGTACGTCTATGAAAAAGTTGAATAAGAACGATGACAATGGATATCTCTGACGGATACCACTATTATAGTCAACTTAGAAACTAACCTAGCAACAATTGAAAATGGCGGCGTTTCAAGTTAATCTATATAACTAGGCTAAATGTTAATGAATGCAAACAAAAGGTATACACGTGTTGTATACTCTCCTGACTGATTGATTGTAGCTCACATTTTTCCTACCTACAGATAATAGAAATTGATCAAGACTGTCCAACGATTGTGTCTATCTATTGGTATGCGTATACACAAAGATCATAAGTTCCTTGTTGAACCCTTACATTATTGATATTTTGGCTTGCAGGTGTACTATGCATGCGGAGCAACCATCGCCTACCTAAATGCGACATGCTAGGGGAGACTGAATTATTTTAGAAGAGTGGTCACGATGAGCAAACCAAGTCGCTGACTGTTGGTTTATGGTTAATGTGGATTGATGTATTAGACTGCTTAGCCATAGTCCTTGGCTATCCGTTATCTTCACACTTTTTATTCTCTCACACAACTTTATTTGATATGTTAACAGTGTGAAGTGTGGCAAATTGTTGATTAAGGGCCAACCTTCCGAGCCGAAATCCAAAAACCTGGTTGGTTATTTCTTAGGGAGCGACCTTGCACGTGATTGGTCGAGTAATTCTAAAGGTCATTCCAACAACTAGTAAAGTAACCAATCAGATTTCTGACATTTATATATACATAAAGCTAATTAGTTATTTCAGTAGTTCCTAAGGTGATTTTTTCAAACTTATTCGATTGGAAGCGACTTTATAAATGTCATTCAAGCAACCTGCTGGAAAACTGTTGTCAGAGTAATCTTTAAGGTCACTCTAAAAAATTCGAGTAATTCTGATGAAGGTGGTGTAAATCATAAGTTGTCGAACCGATCTAGCTATACACTCATCTATTTACCAATAAAATGATAGACAACCAATGAGAAAAAATATATCTGAGTCCAAGCAGAATGTCATCTATGTTTATTTTGTTTGTTTTTAAAGATTGTTCGAAGTTTTTCTAGTGGTAAACGTGAAGGTGGAGATTTTCTTGATTGTACAGTCAGTGGACGAGGTGAATGGATATATTGTGTTGCTGAAGATCATTTATTGTATTGTTTCAATGTTGCCGCCGGTGGTAAACTGGAGCGTACAATGCGAGTAAGTCTTTGAAGTGTGTGTGTGTGTGCGTGTGAAAGCTCCTACTATCCAATCTCATTTCAGCTGAAGAGAACTGTAAGAATACAAGGAGAGTAGATGGGTAAACAGTCCGGACAATAGAATTTGATGTCATGCCTAACAGATAACTATAATAAGATGAGCTGTCAGCCATTTGAATGTTTTAGGACTAAGACATTTAGTGTACATCTGCTTAGTATAAAATATGAAAACTCACTTAAGACAGGTTAGAGCAGAAGTGGAATAATAACCTATTTGTGGTTCCATACAGTAGTGTATCTAATCGATACAAACCATTCAGTGAATACAAAGATGTCTTACAGATAGTTCATTGGATCTCATATTGGCTGCTGCATGACATGTTGATTCGCCATCTTCAAACGGCTGACATAATCGTTATTATCTACTGAAATGAGAATTATCCATGCTGATGCAGATTCCCGAACCCTTTACGTTCTTGGTTTGTATCAAGTGTAATGTGGTGTAATTACCGTGAATTGCGGTTATTTCTAAAAGAATATAACTAAATGACGTCTGCTTCACTATCTTAAAGAAAATTCTTAGAATTTGATTGAAACATACTACTGAGTAAGTTAAGTAGTCAGAAACCACTATCACACTGATCTGTAGAAATCGTTAGCCAACCAGATTTACGTAATCGAAACACCGGATGGCTGTTTCACTCGTTTGGGGACAAGCTGATCAATGGTGTACACAGCTTGCAGAGCAGAATTAGTTCAGGTCACTTGAATTTATTCAAGCTTGTATTTATCAACTATTGACACCATTTTGAGAACCAACCATTGAAAACCCTAGAGCACTAAACCCCTGTTTTGTACTAACAAGGGGTTTTAAGCAATAGGCACTCACGATTCCGCTCGAGAACCAACTCAAGACCTCTAGGTTTCATGACAAACGCTTCAACTATTCATCCAGTGCGTCAGAGTTCGAATGTCGTTCATTTGAAAATAACTGACCAGTGACTTTTATTAACGACATATGGCCTCTTGTGTGTCTAGATGCCTCAGTATTGCTGAGATTTTCAGTTTTGATAGTAATGATTGTTAAAGAATCCACGATCCGTGTTTCGTCCTATTTTGCACCCGTCAGTTGAATGTATTTGCTTCTTTTCTCAGTGAATGAATTACGAACCCGAAACTGATCGCTTCAAACGCCAGAACGTTATAACGATGGGGAATTATGAAAATTCACAGAAGGAAAAAAAAATTTACGCATCATACAAGGAGTGACCTAATGGATACCGCACTCTGGCGTTTTTGAAGCAATCAGTACCGGGAAATAAGGCACTCACTGAGAAGCGGCAGGTACAACAATCTGATGAGTGTCAAATAGGGTGAAACGCCTTTCTTGACCATCTTATAATGCTTGAAGCCTATATAGACCCGTAAGCTTACCTAAAGACGTACATAAGGGAAATTTTTATATCTTTTTTTTGATTTCCACGGATTTCTTGCCCTATTCTAACACTTCTATCTAATTCTTGGAGGTCAGTGTTGATCAGGTCTATTGTGGGGCAGCAGCGCACTACAGGACCACTGTATCTTAGTGCCAAGTGGTTGTAGATACGCATTGTTGATCACTGTCAACCAGGATGAAACTTCAGGTTGAACAAGGGGCCCTCTGCGCACCGACACCTATAACATCTAACATACCTCCCTGATCATAATCACTTCCTGGACGTATCTCAAATCTGTCCACTTGCTAACTGATGTGGTTAGTGTCGGTCTGTTGGCTACGGAGACCTACATATGACTAACTAGCATTTCTAGACGGTGTTGTTACTCTGATTTCAAAGATAGAGAGAGAGAGAGAGAGAAAAAAAAAAGACAAAGGGACACATCATTATCTTCTTAAACATTCATCATAAACCTAGATAATTAGCAATTATTGTTCAGCCTTTCTACTCTTCTCTCATCCATCATCCATCTATCAACATTGGACCAGGAATTACTGCGTAACCGTCCAACTGGCAACACCTCATCTCATATCACTACATCAAGTAAACAAGGCAGACAAGTGGAACATGAAGAAAACAAAATTCACTCAAAACAAATATAAAGTAGTCAAAGAGAGAGAGAGAGAGAGAGCGAAAGGAAGAATGAGAAAATGGTGAGATTCGGTATAGCGTGGTTACGATGAAGAGAATGTGTGTGGGATACATCTCCACCACTGACATCGATTGTGAGTTGTGTGATCACTCAGAGTCTTCAACCACTGGTTTCTCTTGTCCCGAGGACCCTAACCGGTTAGTCTGCATCGCCCCACATGGCTGAAAACAACAGTCAAACACTTCATACATTGATGCCATGTTTTAGTCTGGGCACCTCGGGCCTTCCTACCAGCCTGAACTTACTTCGGCCAACATTGTGTGACGAGGCAATCGGTGACTAGGCATGCGTAATACATGTCTTAGCCAGCCATCTCAATCGATGCAGGTTCACAACCTCGTCAACTGACTTTCATCTTCTCCCTCCCTAAAACCTCACTCTGTTCTACTCTACTCCACTCTTGTATTTGTCAAATCTACACAAACTGGGTAGTAGAACCTGGTGATTGGTGATTGCTCTAATTTTGTCTGAATTCATATTTTTATAATGGAGTCGGGAGACAAATCCTTTTGTAGTAATCATAAGAGAATCATTCTCATGGGAAATAATGTCTAAAACACAACAATGAACGAGCAGTCATATCCACTGGCTAACCTATGTATATATCTCCGATATCATTTATTCTTCATAGTCATATATATCATCACGTCAATAACTCCACAACTTTCAGATGTGGTTTATGTGTTTCGAATCCTCTCTCTCTGTCTGTCTGTCTTTCACTCTCTCACTCTCACCTTCTTTATGATGTGTACATCGCAGTGCTTTCGTGTTTGCTTTAACAACCAAACATTCGATTATCAACTTCTCCATATCTCCCTCCACCCAACTCACTGCTTACTTTTTAATACTGTCGCTCTATCCCATTCAATTGTCTGTAGTTATCTGTATAAACCTATAGCCGAGCTTTTCTCTACATCTACGTATATTGGTCCATTGCTCCAACTTACATTGCCTAATTACATCAATAGGATCTTTTAACCTACAAAGATGGTTTCTAAACGCGTTTGTAGCTTCAAATACCACTAATCTGTTCCCAGAGAGTCAGCCTTATTGAGAATTCTACTTCATGTCTATAAGGTGGTGCCTTCTTTCTATTGTAACACAGTGGAAGCTTTGAATTCTCTCTGTCTGTCTGTGTCTCAACTTTGTCATCATTATTACTATTAGTAGTAGAATTGTGAATATCATTGGCACGACTCCTCCTCCTCCTCCTCCTCCTCCTCCTCGTATCCTTCTCTCGATTCATCATCAAGATTAACTTGGGGGCAGAGATGACTGTACAGCGGTCGAAGTTGCCACGCACCTCATCTCATATCAGCACATTAAGTAAGAAGGCAGTAAAATGGGAGATGAAGAAGGAAGGAGAAATAGGTGAGAAGAGGCAGAAAGAAGTCAAAGAGAGGGAGGAGGAATGAGGAACTGCTAAGACAAACGAGTCTTCTACTTCTGGTAGTCTCTCTTGTCCCGTCGACTACAATCGGCTAGTCTGCATCGCCCCATATTGGCTCAAAACAAGTGTCGAGCACTTCATCGATTGATGTCACATTTTAGTCTGGCCACTGCAAACCTTTTCCAGATTGAACCTACCTGTGATGAAGCATGCGATGGCTAGACATAAGTAACACACATTGAAACCAGCTAACTTAATCCATGAAGGTTCATAACCCCAATAACTCTCTCAACTCTCTTGCCTAAAACTCTATGTGTTTGACGTCGATTACTTATGAATATATTCATCAATCAATTCAAGTGAGTAGTCGTTGAGACGCAGAGTATTCTTGATATCTCTGATTATTTGTCTTAAATTTTCTGGCCTACTAGTAAGCTTTTCTGCCATATTATCTAAGTATTTAACTAAGTAAGTCCTTTGTAACTGAGATGTGAGGAGAGGATTCGAAGTCTGAGTAACAATTCGAATTGGAAGGTTTCTTATAGACGACACTAGTATGTAAACTTCCATCTTGCTATCACTTCATCTTGCAATCCAACATTTCCAGCTCACTTTCATCACTTTGTAAGTCAGAGGTAAATTGGATTTGATTCACTACTGAACTTATATATGTACCAACAACCTGTTGATGTGTTCCGATTTCAGTACTGTAAACGTATCATCTACATATCGACAGTTTTTCTTTCGAGTGAGAGTAAATGTTTGAAGAGCCATCGCTTCACAACTATCCATAAATAATATCTGTGACGATAGGGGCATATTCATGATGATCCCATGGCAACTCTTTCAGTTTGTTTATGTATTTTATTTTGAAACTTAAAAACTTTGGATGTCAGTCAAAATCGTACTCCTAGTATGATTTCCTGCATCATCATCATCATCATCGTCACCACCTTTCTTCAATGTGTAAGGGGTAATTGGTATCGTTAAGGTCATGGAGTGGTTTCTAGTTTAACCTAGTACCATTGCTGGATATTAAGACAGCACATAAGTTGGAGTGTTTCTAAAATTTATTTATAGGTCTGATGGATGGTATAATCATCCGATGAGTACTTGAAGCGCAGTTATAATAAACTCGAGAAGATTAGGTCAGTTGTCAGACTTGGTCATGTGTCTTTGTGTACCGACTAGATATATTTACATTTCACCAGATCTTAAAACGTAATATATTTACCGGCACTGGATACTGACTATAGTTCTTCACATGAAAGTGTTATCGGAATGTCTTTCAACAGTATCTCATACTGAAAATGGTGATTGATAAATACATTAGTCTGTCGAAGTCTCTGTGATCGAGCACCCGTTGGCGTGTTACAACGTATCATGAAATTCCACATAAGTTTTGTGTATCTATTGGCATCCGTCAGCGATGTCCACTTCCTTCCATTTTGATTCATTCTAAT